GGGGGTTCTTAAATCTTCCTCCTTTGCCTGTTGATACCCTTGGTTTATATCCTAAAGACATTTTGCACATTTTGAAAGTACAAGGACTTGTATTCCTGGTCAAAATTCACTTTTAAATGGAATGGAAAGTACAATGAACACATGGAATTGTTCACCTCGTTCAAGCTTAGTGAAGATAAATGTTTTATGTATAAACATATACTGATAGAGTACTTGTTTGTTTGGGGCTCAGGCTGTTATTTATTTCTAAGCAGACTAAACACATGCATAGGACCCCAGGGATAAGAGGACATCAAGCTGCCAGAGTGAAATAAATATGATTAAAAGCAAAAAAAAAAGTTAAATGAAAATAAAGCAGATAATATTTTGGATGGCAGATAGAAAAGAAAAATAGGTCAAAGAGTAGAATAATATGAGAGGTTATGTAGTATTTGGTTTTTTCAATGTGCGATGTTAGCACCATGGTGTTGGGAGTGCTGAGGGCAACCAAAGACCTAAATATAATGGGGAAATTGTTTTGTGTGTGTGTGCTGAAATTCTGTACATGATCTTTTTATCATACTTTTTGATTGGGGGTGGGAATTAAATGTATATCAAAGGCACTTTGGCACTGATATTGATACATGTTTAGTTTGTATATGTATTCAAATTGGTGCTTTTAGCAATTCATAAATTAAGAAATGAATGCAAATTAAAATGAAAAATATTGATTTCTTAATTATTGAAAATATGTATTTCTTTTTACTTCATTTGTTATAATGGCATAGTAACTAGGTAACATTTGCTTTATGCAACCGAAGACAAACCAGTAAAGATACCTGCTAAATATCCTCCAATGGTGTGTCCAATATTTATATGAAAATGAACTTTTTAGTGCATGGCTGAAGGAAGATGAAGATGCTGTCATTAAAAGAGTCAACCAAAGAATAAAAGATGTCACCCAATTGGACATGACTATGGCTGAAGATCTTCAGGTAATTAGTAACAAATCATTACACTAAGTTTTTTTTTCTTTTTCTTTTACCTAGCAGTTTTAGATCAACTATCATTAGGTAGAAATTAGAATAGATTATGTCCATTTTGACATGTTCACTCTGGTCTGTCTGATGAACTTTTCATCTTAACAGATATTTGTTTGTCTTTTAGTCAAAAGTGTTAATTCCCAGTTGCCTTTGAATACGATGTGTTTTGATCAGATGCAATTTTTATTTTTCTTTCAGGTGGCTAATTATGGGATAGGTGGGCATTATGAGCCTCACTTTGACTTTGCAAGAGTAAGCATGTTTTTTATAATCTATTTAAAAATAATTCAAAATTCTGGATTATGTCATAGGTAACAGTATGTTGGTTATATTGGTGTTATAGTTGAAAGTTTGAAAGAATTTAAAAACAAAAATGAATTTTTACAAACACTTAAGTCTAATTATGTCTGTACCACTTAAAATTAGTTGCATGTTTTACCTTTTACTACATCAAATTGAAATATATCAGTGTTGCAATAAAACCATTGGCTTCTTAATAGCTAAAAGGAATGGCTAGATGTCTTGATGGCTTTTAGTAATTTAAAACACATTTGTTTTCAGAAAGATGAATCTAGTGCTTTTGATACCAGAGTAGGAAACAGGATAGCTACTCTGCTTAATTATGTAAGTGGCTTGGTTGGGAATAGTGTTTTGAAAAGGATCACAAAATGCGCTGCAGGCTGTAGCCTTGTATTCCCAACCAAGCCAGCCTAGCTTAGAGTAGCCGTCTGTTTGTTGTTTGCATCCTTTACTTACTGCATCTTTTATCTGAGCAGCAGTGCATTGTAAGACACTTTAGAGTTGTGCAGTTAGTATATGTGGTATGTACTGGTTTCTTGAAAGGGGGAAGGCGAGGTATGCTATTTGTATGTGAATGATGGAAATGTTAGATTGCTCACTTTTTCATCATTTATTGAAATGATTGTGTATATTATACTGGTGCTCAGATAAAAGAACCATCACTCCCATGGTGGCAGTGATGGCAGTGTGCTGTGTGCATGTGTTGGATCAGTCTGGAGAGGTTTAATGGATTATTGTGTACGTTTTGATTTAGAAACAGGAGGAGACTGCCTTTGATTATATTCATGGCAATAGAATTGCCACATGGTTGAACTACGTGAGTTGTTTTCTTATTTTTATTTGATTTTTTGATGATTTAAATGAAATTAATGTTTTCTAAAATTCTTTTTATTTATTCAAAGTAATTTTTTCAAAAATTCTTTTTATTTTTTTCAAATTAGAGGAATACCTTTATGTAGGAAGAAAAAACATATTTTGGTAAAAGTTAAATGTAGTATTGCATTTCAAATAATTAGTAAAGGTACAAAATCTGAGAAATGTTTATGATAGAATGTTTGTTTTGAAACAGAGGGTAAAAGAATAAAGTATCAGTGTTTTTAAATGAGGTGGGGGATCTACTTTGAAGTTTATTTAACACTAATTGGAAGATAATTGGGGAGTGCTGTCAATCTATGCAAAATCTACATGAAAGACCAGATGTGTAGACATTGTATTATGCATCTGTATGCAGCTCGTTTGATGAAAGCAAACAGCATTCTATTTAGATGGAGCCATTAATGATTTGATCACTAAGCCAGAGCTGAGGAGGTAGATGTTAGATTTCAGGAGAAATTGTTTTATCAATGCAGTGTACATTTTTTTGTAAAAATGCTGTATAAAAGAATATGCAAATTGGTTAGGTTTGCTCCATTTGGTGTGTACTTTTGGTTTAGGTCCTTCATAATAAGTAAATCAGATGTAAAGTATTCATTCAATATTGTTGAGTTTTTACATCTGAATTTTTGAAATTGTCTTACTTAAAACTGATTGGATTTCAGATGAGTGATGTCACTGCTGGAGGTGCCACAGTGTTTATTCCTATTGGGGTCAAAGTTTTTCCTAAAAAGGTAACCTAATAGTTTTATATCTTTCAAGTTTCATTACCCATGTAGGTTTATTATTCATGATGTATCCATAAACATTTTTACTGTCATTAGGTGCAGCCAGTTGGTTTGTGAATTGGGTATAAATATTTGAAATGGAATTGTTGCACTGAAAATGCATCTTTTTGAAGCCCCTAAAGTTCACTACCAATATCTAATTCAAATTACTTTTCTTGTCCCCATAATATTATTCTGAGGCATATCCATTAACACAGACATGTTTTCAACTTAAGGTGGCTATATACTTGTTAAAACACTTTGTGGGGTTCTTTGTTCAGGGTTCTGCTGTGTTTTGGCACAACCTATACAGGAGTGGAGAAGGCGACTTCAGGACAAGACATGCAGCTTGCCCAGTTTTAGTGGGACAGAAATGGGGTGAGATTTCTTCTATATTTTTAAATGTGTTAAAACTGTTGTATTATAGCATAATGTTCATCACTTACTCTTTTGAATGTCAGTCCTTTCATGACATGTCAAGAAAACCATGTATTTGTCATTATGATGCCCTTGGAAAGTTGATATTCCATTCTATACACATGCCAACATGGTGTGAGTTCTGGGCTCTTTTCATGTTATTTTTTGTATATTGATGCATTTTGTTAAATGTACATTTCAGAACCTTTTTGTGATTTAAATAATTAGTGTAAAATATTTTCTTTCAGTTTCAAATAAATGGATTCATGAACGAGGCAATGAACTAGTGAGAACATGCGGCCTGAGCCCATATGAATGAAGATCAGATGACAGCCGTTTATTGAGGAACCTGTGAACTTCTACAGAAATCATTTCTGCTTTCTTTTTGTCTTCCTTTGTAGTGTCTGCTAGAGAAAATTTTGTTTTTTTTTCATCATGAAAAACCCCAAACTGTACATATTTCATGTATATTGGTAATCCTTCTGATATGCTTACCTTTGAAGGTCTTCCTGCCTCTGAAACAAAATGTTTTTTGTTGAAGTTCACATAAACTTTGGCTGAGCTGATGATGAGCTTGACAAGAACAATTTATTAGCTGTGATATTGCTCTGCCAGCTTACAATTCTTGGAGCACAAGTTCACACACCAAAAAATTCTATTTTTGGCTTTGATTTAAATAGGTCACACCATTCACAATATCTAATATTGGGAAGATGAAAATGCTCATTCATGCTGCTGCTTTAAGCTTACCAAATAATGTGGTGTTTTTTCACATAACAGAGCTTTTTCTCTGGGCTTTGATTTTCTATCAACAAAGTATTTTTGTTGTTCATTTTAACAATCAGCCTTAAAGGTAAATAATAACATTTAACCTGAAGTTTTTCAACCACTGGTAGTTATTTCAAATAGTTAATAATTGCACATTTAAGTATAAAGATTGGGTTCTGACTGCATTAAACAGCACATAACTGATGAGGGAGTTGCTTACTAATAAAAAGCATGATTGTTACAGTAATTCAANTTTACTTAAAGATTCTTTTTAACAGTTTCCTATAACAAAACAACTATAAATGCACTCTAAGTGCAATTTCTTAACAATGACAGTATACTAGTAAGTTTGGTGTGGAAAGGCAATTCTACATGGCTATACAAAGAAGAAGTGACACATGGCCAGTTCCCTGCATACTGCATGATTGGTTCCACACTATGTACAACTGCTTTACTAGTCAGTAGGCCCTATTGGTAGCCTCTGATGCAGTTTACTTTCCAGAACCAGGATATGCCAACGACCACATATGTAGCTGTTGTCTCTTTTCTAAGCACTGGGGCATATAAAGGATAAAGCAGGGGGAGGGGGTAGACTTGTACTCTAGCTGCAGTTTTGTTGTCATGGTATTACTAGTACTTAGTGAAGCCTCGGTCACAACCGTCCGCACGGGCTCTTACAGTCTTTTTGCGTCCAAAATTTCCGCAGAATCTCACGTGCCATGCAAGTCCTTCTTGCGAAATTTGGAGTTGGCATACAGCCCGTAAAATACGATTATTAGTAGAATCTTTTGGACATACGTATCTCCGTACGTGCATACGGGCTGTATGGGAACTACAAATTTTGCAAGAGGGACTTGCGTTGCACTTGAGATTCTGCGCAAAATTTGGACGCAAACAGGCCGCAAGAGCCCGTACGGCCGGTTGTGACCGAGGTTTTATAAACAGATGATAATTTTTCAAGTACTAAATATGCTGCTGCTTTGTTTGCGAGCTCCAAAGGGAGGCGAGATTGTTTCACGATTGAACATATCCAAAATAACCAGGCATAAATTGTAAAGCCAAATGAAACCATTTATCGATAAGGCTACAAACACGACCTTTAACATTAATGAATACATTTAAAAGCAATCCAACTTGACCATTAAATTTATCTATTTTCTGTGAAATATTTACCTTGCACTGTTTTGCCGAGATAGTCCCCCCTTCTTTCCTTATTGATCACATACTGATAAATCTTTCCTGTTGTGATGTTGTTGTCTCGGTGTAATTTGATGTCTAGAAACCTCTCATAGTTTCCTAAATCCAAGTCAACTTCTCCACCATCATCCAATACAAATACCTCGCCTATAACAGCAATGAAATTTAGAATGACTGTGATATTATTTACATACTGAAACATAAAACAGCAGCACACTCACCTGCGTGTTGCTTTTTTTTATGATGACATACATATGCACATACATATGCCTCCACACACACAAAAGACTTGTAGAACTTTTACACACTTTTATTATCAGCGTTAATCTGAAATCTGTTCATGAATTACTACAAAAGTACAGAATTTGATGGAAAATAAATCTCTAAAAGCTAATCAGTTACATTGTGTTTGTACAGTTCATGAAGCAAAATAAAGTGACTGGCAGAATCATTAACAAGAAAAATGTGAGACAGCTAGGTAAGCGAAGAAAGCATCTGGCATTATATAACTTCTACTCTAGATTTACCAGATCGTGCAGACTCAGACATTCAGCAATCTCCTTACCATGTTCATATGGGGAGAATGTCCCAGCATCAATGTTAATGTATGGGTCTATCTTTATAGATGTCACACGCAGTCCGCATGCTTTGAGTATGGTCCCCACACTGCTGGAGATGACCCCCTTCCCAATGCCACTGATCACACCTCCGGTAACCAGTATATACTTCATATTACTGTTACCAACAAACTGACTGAAATATCTTGAAAACCTACAGTGGTAGAAAAGAGGTTCAGTCTTACTGCTTTAAGCTGTGCAAACAATGACGATGACAACACTATAAACCCTGTATATTTATATTATATTGACTAGGGTTTTCTGCTATTAGATGCCATTTATTAGCTACAAATATGCTCTCCTACTTGAAATAATCAAAGCTCATTAAAATCACCTAAATACAAACATTGCAAAAATGTCATTTTCAGCATACATCACATAAAAACATTCCACTAGGCTTTGCAGCCAATCTCACCAAACCCTCTTATTTCACTTATGTTATTAATAGATCACATATGATAGGCCAAATATATAGTAGCTGGTGATATATTCATAGTGCTTATATACAGATATTCGCTTTTTAAAAAATTTGCTCCAACAATGCAATATGCCATGCAGAGGAGTAAGCTTACCATTTCACTCACATCTCACAGTACTACCCACTGTAATATTGCGGATTTATGGTTAAATCTAAGTTGAAGTGTCAGATAGTATCATACACATGTAACCAAGAGTGATATACAAGTTACAAGGGGAGATAATTATCTGAAGGAACCAGCCTCTACTGTAATGTACCAAAAATCAAGAAAAGAGAAAACGAAAACAGTGTAAATTACACTAATATATCTAAGATGTAGACAAGTCTTATACAGTTTTACAGTTGCTTTCCTGAATGTTTTAAAGGAGTTTAAATCCTACTACACTGTCTATTTTAACGTGTTCTTCACCTGTTCATAAAAGCAGCGTGGTCTTCACGTGTATTTTTTGTATGCAAATGCCTGACCCGAAATTGACCTAGTTTATGAAGAGTTAGTAATGTACTGATAATAGTAACAGATTATTTTCAGATGGCATTAACAGTTATTAAAAAATCAAGAAAAAGAAACCTAATCGTTTGGGAAAAACAGAGAGGCTCTTTTTAGAGCCACTCACTTTTAAATGATATATTTACCTTAATTTTCAGTCATCTTTTCGGTGCAAAACAGTCTGTCGCGCTACTAATTTAATTCGTGGGAATTGTGGGTAGTTGAAATATTGACCTGTTATCAAGCTGTGCAAATTAGAATGGGAAAACAAAAATACTTAGTACATTTTGTATTTTAGAATTAAAACAATTTACATTTTTTTTGGAGTTGAAATAATTTGATTTCGAATAATCGTTGAAAGGTCACACTTCCCGTTGCTGGCGAGAAAACAATGACCTTGATTTCCCGCGAAATTCAATATGGAGGAGAACGACCAAAACGTCCTCCATAAAGATGCCTCGCCTGTCTATCAAACAGACGTTAACGGAGACACAGGAGGTTCTAATACCATTAGAAAAGGATTACTACCAGAGAAGAAAGTTGTTTATGTTTGTAGTGCAGATTTTCTCAGTGAATGCGACAGAATTGCCAAGGTGCCATTTAGGGTAATTATTAATGAGCTCCCCCCCGCCCCCCCTCCCCAAACACACACTTAAGGTACCTGTACACATTTGCTGATTTCAGAAAACATGGAAATGCACCTTGGTGATCAAAATAAATGTTCAATCTAATGGAAAATGTATAGGTTGATCAATAAACGCAAGCATACCTTTTAATTTTCAATTAAATCTTATTTCACATGACATATTGTTCAGACCAGTATATTTTAAATTTCCTTTGATCAGAGTCGCGGGCATGTGCACGCGGCTCAATTAGTTTATAGTAATTACTCTTATCTTTAGACGCTCTTTCCCTCTACCCTATCGCAGTAATCACTCTTATCTTTAGACGCTCTTCTTATCTTTAAACTCGTAAACATTAAAGGTCTGGCACGCCGGTTTTAAGTATAAAGAAGGCTACGAAGCCAAATAAAATTCAGTTTGTGATTTTGTAACGAAGCAGTGGTGTTGCGTTGCTATTCTCTCTGAGCATAACTCAAGTCGGGAATCGTGTACCGAACCTTGGAACTTCACGTTTGCGTTAGAGCCCTTAGGAGTAATTTTATACCCGGTGGTATATTAAAGAACTCAGTACAATATGTGAAAGAAAATATAGTTTGACGTTGTCCTCGTTTTTATGTAAATATGTTAATTACTTGTTTGCTTTACTCTCATCAAGTCTCAGTGACTCATCAAGTCTCATCAAGTCTCACTCAACATATGACCTTTTTTTTTCAATGACATTTTAGGCGAGTATCACACATGCTGTGATTGAGGCCTACGGACTGCTTTCAAGGATGAGGTAATTAAAAAGATAAATGTGTGTGTGGGCGTGCGCAGTCACACACACATACACACACACACACACACACATACACACACAGTCATGGTGCAGGAATCACCAATATGAACAATACTCACTCGATCATTACAATTAATATGTAAATCAATAATTTGTCATCTACTTAATTGTGTCATACTTCATTGGTAATGAGGTAGATTATATTTATGGTCATTTACTGGATGTTTTTGTACTTGTATTAAAATATACAAAACATTTCCTTGGATTAATTTACTTTCATGGTTATTATTAAATTTTCATTGGATTTTTTTCTTTTCTAGTGTGGTTCCCCCTAAACCAGCAACATTTGAAGAAATTTGCCATTTTCACTCAACAGATTACATAGAATGCTTACAAAGATTGTGCCAAGATGATGATCCAGACAAGTATGATGAGGAAGCTGAAGAATTTGGCCTGGGTAAATTCCATTGATTTTGATCTAGGACCCATAATATCTTCTATCCTAGTTTTGATCAAGCCTTTGATTATGTAAAACATCATGTCATCTTTTGAGAAATTAAGAGGTCACAGTAATACATATGGTACCATATATTCCAGGCTGTTTAACTATTTATTTTTCTAAATTTTATCAGTCAGCTTGCTTTTACAAACAGTGGCTGATGGAGAGGACCGAAAAAACTTTTTAAACAGGCATAGCCTTGATAGGCAGTTTGAAAATAAATTTCACAAGTTTCCAGACTTAAGTTTTAGAAAAAATAAAAATATTTTAATTCTTAACTGAAAGTTTTTTTTTTGGCATCTTTATGTAGGTTATGACTGTCCCGCAGATGAAGGTGTATATGACAGTGCCTCTTGGGCAGCAGGGGGGACACTAACAGCAGCTGAACAACTGGTCAGTGGTCAGTGCTCAGTGGCCATCAATTGGGCAGGAGGCTGGCATCATGCCAAAAGGTGGGTCTGGCAGAAAAAAAGAATCAGGTCATATTAAATGTAAAGAGATTCATGACATCTCTTCAACTTTTACCTTTAAATAATATTTGGGAAAAGTTGATGCCTCTGAAATTCATGTATTTTTTTCTCTGAGAACTTTAGAATTTCTTCAAAATAAAAGAAAGCCATACCAGTTGTATACAGTGACTTACCATATTTTTTCAGTATTTGACATTTTGTTTTAGCCCCAAAAAAGATGTATTGTCAAAAATGCACAGGAAGATTTTTTAGGCCTGGGGTTGGGGCGGGGCAGCTTTAAAGAACAGCTCTTTTGATCGAAAGGTCCTTCCTGAATCACAATTTGATCTATTAGTAGGTTCTATGTCATTATCCACAATTTTTTCAGTAAAAGAACTCCCCAATTTAAACCTGCTGTTTGTATGCCATTTCCAGTTGTAATTTTTTTAATGGAAATGTGCTGAATAGAATTGTGCTATTGCAATTCAAGATGTGTCCTTTTTTTTTCAGAGATTCAGCTGCTGGTTTCTGCTACATCAATGACATTGTGCTAGGAATATTAAAGCTACGGACCAAATATGACAGGGTTTTGTATGTGGACATTGATCTTCATCATGGGGATGGTAAGATGGCTAGCACTTATATTATACAATTTTCATTTTTTCACAAGTTAATTCAATTTTTTTTTAAGTAAAGGTGAAATACCTAACATCGTCGGAGTATCTAACTTGACAACATTATCAATGATGTGATAGGGTGGCATGTGCATAACTGTGTTTTAACGACAAATTTATAAGATCAATTGTATAGCTTAATCAAGGTTTTGATTTCTGTTGAATAATAATTTTACCTTTCAGGAGTGGAAGATGCTTTCTGTGCTACATCCAAGGTTATGACAGTATCCTTCCATAAATATTCACCTGGGTTTTTCCCAGGTGTGTATGTCTCCTTAAGTACTAGATTAGTATAGATATTTTAAAAAATGGTCGAGTTTTGTTGTTATAATTGAGTTCTCCTCAATATTTTAAGCTTTATATTGCCAAATATTAATGCTCAGGATATTCAATTCATTTTTTTCTTCTGATATTATTATTATTATTATTATAATTTTTGTATCATGCATTCAGGCACTGGCAACCTCTCTGACACAGGTATTGGAAAAGGAGCTGGTTACACTGTAAATGTGCCCCTCAATGAAGGATGCCAGGATGAAAATTTTTATCGAGTGTTTGAAAAGTAGGTTTTATGTGCTCTTCTCAAGCCCACAAACTGTATTTTTATTTCAAGTTATATTTTTTGAATGCAAATGTATTTTCATTGTTTATATCTGTTAGCACTTGTTCTTATAATATATATTATCTGTACCGATTTGACATAATTGTTAATAAAGCTGAAGGAATACATCTTAATATTAACTGATTTTGGTCAACATTTCAGGGTCATGGATATTGTTAAGATCAAATTTGATCCAGAAGCAGTTGTATGTCAGTGTGGTGCAGATGGTCTGGCAGGGGACCCCATGGACTCCTTCAACCTGACCACCCTGTCTTTGGCAAAGTGTGTGCAGTATTTGCTTACTTGGAACATTCCTTTGTTACTCCTGGGGGGTGGTGGGTATCATATTCCTAACACAGCCAGATGCTGGACACACATCACTAGTGTAGTGACTGGAACTAAATTGAGCAGTGATATTCCAGAACACAGGGTAGGTAGTGACTAGTTTTTTAATGGATGGGCATCACATACTCCCTTTTTAAATTGCATTTGCTAGCTTCACTATATATTTGTAACTCCAATGAAAAACATCGCTTTTTTGGTATTTTTACAAATTAATAGAGTATGCAAGGTAAGGGCAGATTAAAAGAAGAGTAAACAATTCCGATTAGAAAACACAAAATCACATAAAAACTTATCCAGAGTCATACCTATCATTCAAATCAGTTTTTATTTTTCCAGTATTTTACACTCTATGGTCCAGACTATGATCTGATGATCTCTCCTGGAAATAGAGCTGATACCAATACTCCATCTCATATTAAGAATGTCATAGCACAGATATCAGGTAAGAAAGGTTGATTAAGACAAATAATATCTTTGTTAACTAGATACAAAATTTGATCACCAAAACTTTGTTTATAATTATTGCCGTTAAAATGTCCTTAGAGTGATGAATTGTACTTACTGGCTTGTGTGTGTGTGTACCTGCATGCGCGTGTGTGTGTGTGTGTGTGTGTGTGTGTGTGTGCTTTTACTGTCAATTAAAAAACTTTATTGGCAAAGCATATTGATTGCCTATGATTTTCTTTAATTTCATCATTTTATGGACAGGCCAATTGGAAAGAGTTGTGGTCTTCTTAAGATTAATGTTTCCTTTTTATGTACAGACACAGATGTGTCTGTACATATAGCCGTCATCTGCGTCTGTCGTCGCCGTCGTTGCCGCCGTCGCCGTGCACTTTTACCGATAACACGATAAGTGGAAAACTGTTTTTTCTTTTTGTTTGAAACTTACAGAACTGATGAATATTCATAATACGCAGGTCGAGTTCGAAAATCAGCATGATTGGGTCATTTTTAGTGAATTTAGGCTATTTTTTCTCTTTTTTCAGCATATATGCAGCACCGATAACACGATAAGTGGAAAACCATTTTACCTTTTGACTTGAAACTTACAGAACTGATGAATATTCATAATACGCAGGTCAAGTTCGAAAATCAGCACGATCGGGTCACTTATAGGGAATTTATGCTGTTTTTTCACTTTTTTCAGCATATATGCAGCACCGATAACACGATAAGTGGAAAACCATTTTACCTTTTGGCTTGAAACNGTTACACCAGTGTACAACGGAAACAAAATTATTTCGACCACTGTACATATTGCAATCACCTGCGTCTGCTGTTGCCGTCATTGCTGTCACCCGCACTGCAAGCACTTTCATTGTAAACAGGACAAGTGGAGGCAGTTTTACTTTTTGGCTTTATATTTACAGAGCTGATGAATATTCATAAAACGCAGGTCAAGTTCGAAAATCGGCATGATCGGGCCACTATTATAGTAGTTATGCTTTTTTTTTCACTTTTCAGCATATATGCAACACTGTTAACACAATATAAGAAAAAACAGATCAGCCAATTGTCATTAAAGCCACAGGAGTGGTCAATCATGCTAAAACACTGGTTGAGTTAAAAAGTCAGCATAATCAGGCCATTGTTTTAGAAGTTATGCTGTTTTTTTCACATTTCCTCACATTCAATTCTTAGGCATGTTAACAGTCTCATTATTGAACTAATAAGTTATGTAAAAGTGTTTGTTTGACATTTCCTGCATCTTTACAACATTGTCAGTTGATTATGTAAAAATGATGGTAAATTTGTTGTTGTGTATTGTGTAATAAAGTGTCAAAAATGGAAACAAACACATATCATTGCAGTTTGTCAGATTCAATCATTCACTATGTTCAGAATGGAAGAAATTGGACATTTAACACTGTTCTATTAATATTTTTCCCATCTCATCAATTTTTTTTAGTTGATCATATAAAAATGGAAGTAAATTGTTAATTTTGTTTTATTTAAAAATTGTTAAAAATGGAAAAAAACATTTCAGCACAATGCTGTCTTGTTTACATTTTGGCATTTTCAAGTTGTGACTTTGAAGTAACATTTTCTGAATATCCATGATACTAATATTTTATTATTTAAAATTGATGGTCATTATGCTGTTAACCATTATGTAATATTGCATCAGAATAGAACAAAACACAATTTTGGGTGCTGCTACCATGATGACCATTATGGGAAAACCGTGTTACTTATGATTGCGAAACTTTTAAAAAAGAAATACAGGACTAAAATGCAGCCTGAGTTGGAAAAGCAGTCTAATTGGCTTCTTTTTCTGGAAGTTATACATTTTCAAAGTGTGAACTTGAACTCCCATGGGCCTGAGGCCTTATGCTTGTTACAAATTTTACTTACATTAGTTTTACCTGTTGAGCATAATTAAAATTTTATGTTGAATTTGCAGTTTAACATAATGTACTTTTGCATCAGAATTGACAGTAGCCTATTTTGTTATTTCCTGTTTTTTGTCTGTACATTTGACAGCTTTGCTGCCTTGTTTTCTATTTAGGTTATAAAGTATGTGAAATTGCTGAAAAATGAAACAGAATATGTAACATATGCCCTGAGCCCTACATTGGCAGACCGACCTGATTTGTTTGTCTGCAAGATACACATAAAGCAGAACGTATCCGAGGATCAGGAAGAGGACATCAAAGTGCTGACATCCACAGAGTTTGACATCCACTGGATGTTACCAGTAAGTCAGTAGGCAGAAAACTGGGTTACTGTATTGTGATGATACACTTATCATATTCTCAGTGTGATACTGACTTTGTGTGATATCATAGTTACTGTAATAATATAAATTAGAGCATTTATCGCCGTGGGTCAACCCCAAGCTTCAGTATTGTTCAGTTATCCCAACTTCGGGTTGAACCTTATCCAGTAATGCCTGGAATGCAAAGTCTGATACTTTTTATTCATGTTGAAATATCTAAAGATAATTTACTTAAAGTCATAATAACTCTTTGTTTTGGCCAAAAATTGGATTTTCATGGAGTAAACGGCAATTTTCTCGTACTTACCAATGGTCAACGACCCCATTCCTGCATTCAAAGTTAGTCCAGGTTTTTTTCTCCTAAATTTTGTTTTTTTGTTAAAATCTCTTCAGAGATTTTAACTGACGGAGCCCATGATTATGTAAGAATTTTCAGTAACCTGTGCAGTGTTGATAAATAGAACCAGAATAGTTGGACACCTCCTTAATAACATTCAAGTATTTAGTTAAAAAGAATTGCCATTGCCAGGTCACTTACCTAATGCTTGCTTCTTGTTATATTTTCAGGTTGCCCCCCATATGGACTTATACAATCTTGGTAGTTATTCTGGTGGTCCAGAAAGCCTAAGATCTGCTCCACAAAGGAGTTCACACCCATTGCCAGGAGGTGAACTGCAGAGACATGGTGGAGGCCACTTTCAGTCAATACCGAACCAGCAGTATTACCAGCAAGACCCATACCTACAGAATCAACCTAGGTTTCAATCCAACATTGGTGGTCAGCAGGAATACTTCCAATCTCAAACATCAAGGAAGATGGCTGTACCAGGCCAATACCAACCAAATTCCCCACCACTACTACCCAACTTTGACAACCAAAGGTTGCAACAAGGCAATTTCCAATCTCAGACACCACCTGGTGAGTCAACAGGACCAAATATACCCCATCATCAACAAGTAGAATCCCAGCATAGCAGACTACCTCAGGGGCCAGTCACTGACCTCCATCTGGAGGAACAAGGTGGTGACCCCTTTCAAACAAGGAGGAAATCAGGCCTTGACTTCCCACCTTTACCACCAAAACAAGACATTCTGGCTGCTGGGGGTCAAGACCAGGGGGTTACTGACCCTCGGGCCATCAAAACAATGGGAAACCAAGTTCTTAACCAGGCCCATGGGGATAATCAGTTAGAAAGATTACCTACGGCAGTGACACATGAGATTGCTGGGTTTCTAAGGCAGATTCCTGCTAATACAGGCAACACAAATGTTACCCTCAATTTGCAGCTGGTTAATCAATATTATAACTCAGAAAAGGCATCAATGACACACATGAGAGAGAACGATGTGACAACATCTTTTCAAAAACATATCCCTCCACATGTGAAAAAACGACTGAATGAGACACTTTCTCAAGATGATGTATGGGACCAAGTGAAGAAGATGTATGGCATTTCAGATGAAACCCCGTGTCCTCCTGATGTTGTGGCTTCCTTGTTGTCTCAAGTCCAGGGTTCTATTGCATCTTTCATCAGTGTGTTGTTAAAGTTAAAAGAACACCACAGAGAAGGGCAGCAAGACATTCCACAAGACTTGATTGATGAAGTCAAGGTAGTTGATACTATGATCTAAAATATAGTCAAATAAAGTAACCAGTCTTTAAAATTTTAAAATGACAATGTGTGTTTTGACTCCTAAACCATTTTTTTCCACATTTCAAATGTATTCTTTCTCTGTAGTATCTTAATTTTAATTCAACAAAGTTTTTCATTTCTTCTCCAAGTGAAAGAATAAGAGCTAGAACTAAATGTATGAGACAATGAGTTCAGTTGGCTGTTTGGGATTATTAAGTGAATTGTAAGTTGTTTACACAACATCATGGTTTGAATGAATAGAAGTTGTAAATAAATGTGATCTATTATATTTCTCTTCTAGAAAGGACTTCTGAGTGAAATGGAGTACAACAAGCTGAGAGAGAAAGTGGTTGACTTTGCTGAGGACCTTTCGATGCATATAGAAAGAAGTTTAGATTACCTGTATCAGTTTAATGTAATACCAGATGAGGAGACAACAAAGCTTAAAAATGATGCAAAGAGAAACCCACAAGAAGCTTGTAGAAATTTGTTTAAAGCACTCCTTGCAACCAGTCCTAAAAAAGAACCAATTAAACATTTAAAAGCTGCATTCAGGGATTCTGGTCTCTGGTATCTGGCAGATGAACTAGAAGTCAGCTACCAGGATGTAGAGGATAAATTACAGAAACATGGAGGTGGCCGGCCTTCTTGTGAAGAGACGTTGGCGATAGATATGGAAGCTCCCCCCACACCTGCTACAGGTGAAAACCCTCTTGAACCACATTAAAATTACATGTGTACAGTGTTTTACAGTATGATTTTAATGCTACAGTATTTGTGTCACTTTTGACTAAGAACATACAGTGTATTACCACATATATTGACATCAGACAAGTTGAATCTATATTTACTGATTTTGAGCAAGTGAAGAAAAAATATAATGAGACATTACTATGTACCATTCAGCATCAACTGTTAAAAAAAAAAACTTTTAACAGGAAGATGACGGAAAATTTTAACAAAACCCAGTGGCCCATGAAACCAAACAGGTTGTAGGGGCTCTAGATCTACTGTAAGACAAATCAACAACCTGTTTGTGTTCCTCTTTTTGTCCCACACAGAGAATATATTATATTTTAACATGCATATGCATGGAAGTCCATTTATTATATTTATGTTATTCTAAGTGGATGTTTTTATGTGTAGTATTGTATTAAATTATATTTACAAGAGACTGAATATATGTAGAAAGTTTTAATAAGCACTTTATAGTAATATATATTCCTTCAAAGAAAACAGCACCACAGATATTTATTTGTGCAGAAAGTTACAATTTATTTCATGTAAGATAAAATATACTTTGTTCTCATTCACAGAATATAGATTGACAGATATCTTAACTTGCTTGTGTATGTATATAAGTTCATCAATTATTTTAACATTGCCCGTAGTAGATATTGGAATATTTAACTGTCACTTTTTGCCGCCTTTGGTTGTTTTCCCGCGGCATTGAGGAGGCTCGCAACATCGTCTTCGTCCTGATGGTCCATAGGACTGTCAGTATCGGAGGAGTCGTCTCCTTCCTCTCCTTCTTCAAAGACCGTCGCAAAGCGTTTGGCGGGTTTCTTTTCGGCTGCCAAACCTCGCCCATTTTCTGTATATTGGAGGCAACAGCCTCCATAGTGCCCTTGAGGCCATCAATCGCTGAGAAAATGGTTCTCGATTCAGAGGGGGTAATACCCACCCCTGACCCCAGTAGGGCGTCTTCTTCTTGAGAAGAAATATTGAAGGTTTCCATCAAAAAATGAAAAAAATAATAATAAAACGCGTAGGAAGAAAAGTTATGCGTCCGTCTGGAAGTCCAGTTGGTTGCGCACTGAAGTCCGATACGCCTGCGCTATCTCATGTGGTTCCGTAATGAACTTGACAGTGATGAAGTAGAATATCTAATGTATGGGTGTGTATACGAGTTCATTTATCAGTTTTAGATTATGTGGCCTTTGTAAAATTACCACAATATGGAATTTGCAAATAAACTAATTTCTAATTTAAGTTGTCTTACTTGTATCTTTAGAACATAGGCCTTTATATCGCCTTTCTTTTATGATACTTTATAAAAGCAAATTTTATTATTTAAAGAAAGGGAGGGTTCCAGATGTCAGACACTGAAAATTATAACACTTCAATACAACATAATAGTCAAAATTGCTGCCCAGATCACAGTGCTAAAACGTATTTTGATAGAAAACAATCCTCAGAGAGACCACTAGCCTCCAAAAGCAAAGCATATGTTCACCGTGATACAGTTGCTATAAAAGGTAATTCAAATGCAGTCTAAGAGAATATCTTATTCCAATAAACTGTATATCTGGGTACCAATGTGTCATTTGCCCAATATCTAAAGTAGCCTCAATTCCCAGATATCTTCAGAGAGAGAGTAGAGCGTTTGCCTCTGCTTTATAAACACGGAAACCTCTTATTTTAACTTCTTCAAATTTAGGTTTCCTGTAAACAACACAGATAAGGCGAATTTATATAAAATAATAATAAAAAAACAAACAAAATACTCGTATAAATAAAAAAAATACATATTTGATGATCTGTAGAAAATATAAAGCATACAAGTGCATTTATCAACCTGAAATGTATTAAGTTGAAGCCGTTTATTTTGTGTGTAAACCTGCAAATATATACCCAGTACATCGACTGCGTATTCTTTTTGTCTCCCTACCGTGTGTTAATAGATATGTTTGAATTATAGTAATAAGATTGTCTTACTCAGAGGCGGATTTAGGGATGGGGGTTCAGTGGGGTCCTGACACCCCCCCCCCCCCTTCGGTTTCTGTAAAAATATCACACTAAATATCACCCAACCCCACCACAAGGAGGCTGAGGGTAGGCTTCGAATCCGAGGCCTGTCATTTGTAAAAGACACTGTCACCCCCTTCAAATCCTGGATCTACCCCTGTCTAACCACCTGTATAATGCGTTCAGGAGACAAAAATTGTGTCTTCTTTGTAAAATTGTTTGGCAAATATGCTTAGGCGGGGATGTTTTTTGTTCTTTATCCTTTACCATCTACGCCACAGATCAAACTTGAATGGAGTCATTAGGTAATCCGGCATTGCGGCATGAATGGCATACTTCTAAGCAATTTTTTTTCAAAAGTC